GCTAATGATTCAATGATCATTAGGCTGGATAAGAATTTGTTTCACGAAGGACTTCTGAAACTATCAAACAGGATCGACGAGCGATTCTACACGACGACCCTAACCTTTACTCATGATCTCTGTGAGGTCATCAACGCTGGGATCAATACAGAGCCCAAGCCTCAGTCTGAGTCGCAACATAAAGCTGGTATTCCTACTCCGGCGGTGTCCAAGTCTGATTTCTCCGACTTTCGAGACCGGAAGAAGCTTGGTAAAAGAATCCTTAAGTCGGTTCAACCACAGCTGGAGACCGCATTGCGGCTCGAATCAGAGGTCGTCCACAGGCCGTTTGAGATGATGAAGCAGGAACTCGAATCCATGATCGAAGCAAGCCTCGAGTTACGCCAGCAAACCGTTAATCAGGGCAACGCAGAATCTGAGCGAAGTCAGGATGTCATCATGGTCGACTCGTCAGCTCCAGAAATCACTGTTGGAGGCCAAGATGATGCCTCTGCTGTTACGGGAGGAGCGTCAGCCGACGTTCCTATGACTGAAGCGGATGCACAGTACGAGACTGCTGGCAGCAGCGGTAATATCGAAGTCAACACGTCAGGCATTGATGGTGACGAGATGGAAGGAGTCCAACCAACCAATAACGTTCTATCTAATCAAGAGATGCCCCTGGTTGAAGCTAAGCCAGAACCAATGCCAGACGATAGTATGCAGGCGGTAGATACGCCACCGGCAACAAATGGCTATGTTGGAGCAGCGCCTTCAATACAGCCCGCACCTCCTACCCCTCCCCAATCAAATGGTAGCTTGGGACACCAGCCGACCGATCCACTTACAGACGGTGGCGTTGTTTGGTATCTTCAGGACTTTGAACCCGAAGGAACTTCTGCAACCCAAGAACAGTGGCAAGGAAGAGACGCCGTCCGCAGCCTTAGCGAGGAACTTACGGAGATCGACGATGACGAGTTAAAGGGACTCGGCAAGGAGATCAACCAAGAGAGCATCACGGCTTCCCCGGCGAACACTACCGAAGTTGCCGAACCGGTCGCAGAAGCGACCACCAGTCCTACGAAGAAGAGCACTGCGAAGACGAAGAGGCGCAAGGCGCCTGCACGAAGACGATAATGCGGAGGCCCTTTAATATGTACGAATATTACGCATATGCTTTACCAAAGCTTTTGCGCAGCCTATTTTCTTTTCTTTTCCCCTTCATCCCGCATTCCACGGTACCCTTATTCCTCAATTCTCATTTTCATATACTGTACTGCAGACTTTGACCAGCTCGGGCTGGGTTCGCATACCAATTCTCGATTCATCAATTCATTCCATCAGCTGTGTTTACGCCACACATGCGCATAGGGGGTCACGGCAGAGGGAAGGCTTTTAGGGAGGGAACGCTTCGGAGTTTGAGGAGTTTAGCTGGTATTACAGCTTTTGTCACGGATCTCGATAGTCGAGGTCGCCTAGTTAAATACCTGCCTGCCTATCTTTAGGAATTCCAGAGATAGGGAGGTTCATTGTGCGTGCGTGCGAAGGGTTTTATGAGGTAGTTTAGGGACGGCTACGAGGCCGGTCTGGTTGGTTTGCTGGTCTGCTGTTGTGGCAGGCTGGCGGGCTAGGGTGCGGTGCCTTGAAGTTTAGCTGAAGAAGCCGTTGCTGAGGCTTGGTCCCGTATATTCTTGACAATGGACTCTTTTATCGTATTTCTTGCTCTGGCTGTTGGATCCAAGTGATTTTAATTTGGGTAAGGGTGAGGAGGTACCTAAGATGAGTAGATCCCTTAGTCCGTAGATACCTAGTCTTTGACGTAGTTGCGAATGGACACATCTAGGTGTTAAAGTAAGCGTAGTAAGGGTTAGATTATATCAGGACCCCGGTTCTGAAACGAGCTGATGTGGATCGCGCTCGTAATAAGAGAGGGAGACTATTTCCGTGTAGATGATGTGATGTGGAGCGAGCAGTGAAAACGGGTCATCTAGACTTATATTGGGTACCTACACGTTTGTGGCAGTGTGAGATGGCATTGCCAAACAGTATCGTTCGAATCTTCAAGATAATAATTCCCGTCGAGCATCAACATTTTCGTAGGGCGTGTTGACTTGAAGTTATCGATTAATATTCTGAATAGAGGCTTTATGGTCTTAGTTTGATCAGGGACAGGCATTTGGTTAGTTGGCATGTTGTGGGGACGACGAGGAGCGTACCGAAGTCCTGGCCAAGATCGTCTTCCGATATATCTTCATTCTTGGAGCGTTTTCTGGAAGAATTCCTGGATGACTAGGTCCCACGAAATAATACGCTGTAGATCGGTAATGGTGCCATAAGTTCCACCCCGTCGGCCAGGACTGCAACTGCTAACCCAGACGGAAGTTTGAATACTGAGCCTGAAAATACTGAGAAGTTTAAATATATGTTGGGTACATTCATAGGATATCGATTGTGTAATTCTCGTCTCCGTCAACATCAAGATATTCGTCTTCGCCCAATGCATAGGATGGGCCCCCAAAGATATCCACTAGCTTAGAACTCCGTTCAAATCTAGGCACGTAAGCTGCGAATATTCCGCGGCGTACATAACAGCCTCGGCCTTCAATCCGCCATAGGACAACGCCATTTATTTGGCCGTAATCAGATTCGGTCTTATAGAATATGCAAAGAAGGTAGACGAACCTTAGTGAGTCGCTGAGATCATTGTTCAAAGCACTAAGATCTATTCTGAACCGATCCCAGCGAATGTATACCCGGGAGGAGTTCCATTCACGAAGCATGTCAGCTGGGCCTTCTCCAGAGTCGCGATGCCCCACGGTCAGCACGCTCCGCTGTGACCAACTAGAGACGTTATGGCCTCTGTGGCGAACTTTGTATATGGGTCCTCGAACTCGTAGGTATCCATCGAGTGGACTATCGAAGGGGTCTTGGGACCTTGGCGTCATTTGAAATTTGACGACCGAGACAGCAATTTTACTATCGTCAGGAGTTCCGGAAGGTAGATCCTGGAAAGAGATTGGGTGTTCAACTGATGCCCAAGACCATGACGGTGCCAGATATTTGGTCTCGCCATTTTCAAACTTTACCGGGCTGTCTTCGCAAGCTTCATACGGCTCGTACCATAGAAGAGATTCTGGTAAGTCGGGTTTCCACATGCCAGCACAGAACGCCTCTGGTGCTAGTTTTAGTAAGGAGCAGAACTCCCTGGAAATAGCCGAGAAAGCCCTCAATCTATCGCTTGGGAAAGTCAAAGAGGTCCTAGAATACCTGCAGACCATACCGTACCATAGATTTCCCAGCAGAACTGGCGGGTATGAATCTAGACCATACGACAGCGACCTCCGAACACCGAGATAGTCCATCTTGTGTGGTAACACGTCCTCCATCTTCTGCGGCAAGACTTCTGATGCGCAAACCTTGGAGCATTCCCAGTATATCTGCGTTGGAGTGAAATGGAGGATGCGAGGCGAGAGCGCGGATTCTTGAAATACCCAGCCACGGGTACTCAAAGGACTTTAATATACTGATGTGGTATAGTCGCTGTAGTATGCAGCAATTTCAATTTGAATCTCGTTAGTGTTTCCTTTGGGCCCTCTCCGTTTGCTCATGTATCGAACACAAGGAGTTACGAAGAGCGGATCTCGTTCAAAGAAAAGTCCATTAGTTCCCGCTGCAGCAGATATATTCAAGACTGAGCCAGAATATATTTGGCCCATATGGGATATCTCAGTGGCTTTTTCGGCCTCATCGTCTTGTTTTATACACAGTGCATCTACCCATAGGTATCGAAGGCCCAGGCTCCTGGTGACGTGGATGGCATCGCGCACCGTGGCTGCCTCAGGGACTTGCAGGATTTCAGCGGGAATCCTGTCGCGGAATGTAGTTATGGTTTCATCCTTGAGTAGGAGAATTGGGTCTTCGTGCCAACGATAGCTCAGGGTCAAGTACGGAGTATCTAGAGGAAGACCTTCCGAGCAACAAATACGCACACAGCTATCTAGATGAGCCGATAATTGTTGAGAATCATGAGTATAGCATTGCTGAGTGACTTCCCCATGATCAGTTTCTGGAGTTATATCAATGAATCGCAACGGAAGTCGGCCAAGACCCGAGCGTTCTTTGCACTTATTATGACTTTGACGGCAGGCGGATATCCACGCACGCGCCTGATTAATGGCTTGGTTCGACCAAGTTCTTGAGGATATCGCCGACTGTAACCACCCGCGATTTACTGAACATGCTATGTTAGTCTTGGAGTCTGAATAATCGATCTTCAATCATGTCTCACTATGGTCCTTTTTAAAATATATAGGCCAGGACTGGCCCTTGTTCCCACTGTCGATACTCAACTGGACTTCTGCCGGGCCACATTTCTCAAGCTTCAGTTCAACATTTTCATACAAAACAACCTTACCGCCGGGGGAAAACATGTCTCTATCCCAGTTATATGATATCAGCGAACAAAGGTGGCATCTTGAGCCCGACCCCGAGCCCGTGAAAAGCCTTGGACTGAAATGAGGGAAATGTTTCTCCTCAGCAAGCAGATATTCAACGTCATCGAATATCTGTTGACAGCTGCCGCATAGTTCGTTCAACTTATCCGAAGCCATCAGCGCGGACTCATGGATGAGGCCCTTTATGAGTTTGACACTGTAACCGGGGGAGTTTGAGAAGAAGATGTTGGTAGAGACTGTCTTCCCATAATAATATGGGAAGAATAAGGCCTCCAATATCTTAACCCAGATCCCCCGCTTCAGCTTTGCTCAGCCTGCCTTACAGGTCGCATTTTCATCAATAAACGAGAGATTGTGTTACCTCAGGCTAGGGCCATACCTCCTGGTCATCCAAGGTGAGTCTGGTCCCGTATACAGATTTCAACAGATGGGAATACCATGCACCCAGATTTCACGGTCAAGATTGTTGTAATAGGGACGGGTTGTGGGGCTGCTTTAGTATATAGTATACAATGACGAAATAATTTTCAACAACAACCGATTGGCTGAAAAACAGCTAAATCTAAAGCTCGGTTAGCTCAGCTGGTTAGAGCGTCGTACTAATATCTCCCACCAGGGACATATATAGTATATGCGAAGGTCATGAGTTCAATCCTCATACTGAGCAGCTTTGTCTTTTTGCTTTTTTCTCCTCGAACCCTTATGCTTTATCGGGTTTTTTTTTTCCCCCAGCAGTATTGCAAGGTTCAACATAGCCTTTCAACTTGCCCTCATTTCCAATTTATTAGTATGTATTTCTACTCAAGGTCGGGGAGACTGCGTGGAGTACGCGCATTTCGAACTGATCGATTCCCAAAAGCCGTACAGACAGCAGCAACTTGTTTGGAGTTCCACTGGGTCATTTTCACCTTTTTTTCAAACAGTAATAAAATTGCGTAATGCCTACACACTTGGCTCATTGACCTCCCATCTTGAGTTTCCGTGATTCCGGCTGATGAGTGTCTTGGCCCAACCACGCCTGTAGGGAGGCTGCTAGACATCTCAAAACTAGCATTTCGGATACCAAAACCGAAGTCCATCAGCAGAAACCAGCCAGTCAAACTGCTCCCTAACTATTTTTAAGATCATTACGAGACTTGACAAGCCGTCTTAGCCGGTAAGCCATCGGGCGCACCAAACTAGAAACCCATAGTCTCCAATGATGACATGTATGTTTGGTACTTGCAAAAGCGAGCTGTGCGTTACGCCTACAAGGCGCGACAAATGCAGTGCCCAAGGGTGATGCGAAATGCTGTGTGGAGGAGCGGGAGGCATTATTCTTACCTCGGCCGGCACCCTTAAACAGGATGAGCTGCTCGAGACCACGAGACGGCGAAGTTGGGTCTTAAGGCAAAGGGAAAGTCAGTAAGCTTCGTATGGGGGGTGTGACTTGGCTTATACACGATATCGACGGACGGCGACTAGGAATAGCCGTTTCAACGGCTCGCCAGGAAGCGAAGATGAAGGAAGACGTAGTGGTTGAGAATATCTGCCAAGGGAGCGACAGCTAACATTGTATTCCATTTCAGGGATCCATAGTGTCTGCGCTTACCCTTCGTTACCTCCCCCTATAGGAGTTGTCGGCTTTCTATCATGGTGTATCTGCTGTTAGTCGAAGCTCTCGCGTACGACCCCCTAACGCATATGAAGTCTGGTCGTATTGAAAGAGAAAGGGCGCATGGATCGAGATTTTATTCGAAGCTCTGCCTTGACACGTTATTAGGTCCCAAGTATGAACTCGAACCTAGCGCGCGCGATACGGGAGAAGTGGCTAGAAAATATATGAGATCTACTTCATGCTCTCTCCCGTACGGCGTCGCAGCATCGGAGGCACTGGCATCTTTTTACACCCCCAAGGCGTCAGTCAATACGAATAGCATCTCTATAAAATGACGCTTATTCATAAAGGAAGTGTGGGGTGCCGAATACCTCGCTGCTAGTACACCTTTATATGGCTTAGGATCACAACTTGGGAGTGAGTTGCAATACTGTTTTGGGGGGTAGTGGCTAGGGCTGACTTGCTAGCTTACCGCGAGAGTACTTTATACCGGCGAAAAGTAACCTCTCCTCGTCGATTCATAAGCAGAAATTCTAGGCATATTCAGGTTTAGCTACCCTATGGCCTGGCTTAAGTCCTATATAGTCGTAGTCGGGCTCACCCACTCTTCACAAACGACAGAACCACCGTGTCCTACTCGGCGCCAAAGGAGATGTACAGGAGCCCGGGAAGTGCTCAGGCGAGTTCACCAGCTCAAGCCAATTGGTGAGGATAACGACATGGTACTTAAGGGGGGTTGCCTTAATGAGAGGACGTGAATACAGACCATAGTCGATATTATCGGGGTGAGATCTTATTGACCAGCTTAAAAGGAACGAAAACACCAGAGTCCTCGTCGCGATGGTATTTATCTTGCCATGAAGAGATATCTGTTAGTTAGGTAGTCAAGTAATATCGGTCATTTTTCACCAAGCTGGAAGCATATATAGTGCTGCTGCTCTTGGATGACGATGTACCCCGCTTCCATACATGTGAGATCGTGTATCAAAATTCTCTCGGATTATTGACAAAGTATCGGTGCCTTCTAAAGTAGCAACGAGAAGCGACTGCGACGTTCGACGTGCCTATTTCGGCTAATTATGAAAAAGTTACTATTGAGATTTCTTCATGGAAATAAAAAGACTTAACGATACAGAAAAATTATAAAAAAACAAAGCTGCTCAGTATGAGGATTGAACTCATGACCTTCGCATATACCATATATGTCCAGTGGAGATATTAGTACGACGCTCTAACCAGCTGAGCTAACCGAGCTTTGGATTCAGCTGTTTTCAGCCGATCGGTTGTTGGAAATGCCGGCTTCTAAGCTAACCTATAGGCTAACTGTGCAACAGGGTACTATGAGAAAATAGCCCCCAAGCTTGATTCTTTCACCTCTTTCTATCGTCCTAGTCCGAAATTCTAGCCTTCTCGTATACTTGTCCAGTATGACAGTTAATGACTTCTCTTCTTTAGATTCCTGGGCCATATTCTTCCCTCGTGGTTTGAGTTTCATTTAGATCTCTGCTAGCCCCCAAATCAATTGGCCCGTCAAGTATTAAAATAATTGTATTACTATCTGCAGTTCACTCAGTATTCATCTCTCTCCTTAATACTTATCTATATATCATGGTGATTAATAAATATTCAAGGCAAATTTATAACCCCCAAGGTCGTTCATTGAGGACCCCTCACGAATCAGGGTAATACCGGACACCACGTTGTCACTTGTGGCAAAGAATCCTTTGATATCTGCGTTGTCGGAGGCGACCTGATTGACTGGCTACAGATACTCACACTAATAGCCCTATTTCTACTAGTCCTGTGTAGCTGCGGTATCTGTCTTGCAATATAGATGCATCCTTTGTAATAATAGGAGCAGGGCTCGTGATTGTTCGGTGAGCGAGGGCACAACAGGTAATGTTACCTCGGAACGGTGCAATATTGTTGAATAAATGTCGGAGCTGCGAAGGACATGTCGTTTTTGGATAGCTGAATACTCTCCATCACGGGTACACAACGTCCGCGGTCGTACGCCGGTTCTGCAACCGATGGAGAACGACAAGGTGGCTGAGCTTGGCGGATGTCTTCTTCCCTAATATTTGGTTTTGCCTCTTCAATCATAAATCCGTTCTTCTCTTTGGCCTGGCAAAGAGGATTACGGAATAATTGCGAAGGATAACACAGAAACCGTGATATGTCGTCGAGAATGACCGGACAGCTTCCTTAGTTAAGCTGCAGGCCGAGTCTAGATTTGCTTAAAGCCGTCCGGATTCGAGTACTCGGGAAGTCATGCCGTCCCACTTGCCGATCTTGAGGAAAAACCACCTGCTTAATTCGTTTCGAACAAGTACAGATTTGTAGTCGATCTCATACCCATGTATCTCGCGTATATGCCGTAGAAGCGACACTGCGCACGAGGATAATGTACATTACCTCTGAAAATATATCCTGATTGCTTCAAAGTAACCGACCTAATTGTTGGCGAGTGTAATCTGAGCTGGTACATTTTAAATCACCCTTTTTGGGGTACGGTCGAAGGATACTCATCTGTCGGCGTTATAGTAGAAATTGTCAGATGATAGCTCTCATCAATTGTCAGCTGGGGGCTCATCGCCTAAAGAGGCTTGACGATGGGACCAATCTCATTGGTGGTAGCTATCTCAAAGCGAGGTTCATGCCACGCATGACAAGACGGAAGATGGAGAATTATCGATAGCCGAAATTGCCTCGCATCTGCGAGTATTATCAAATGCCCTGCTGGTAAGAGACTACAACGTGTCATACATTGCGCACTGTACGTAAGATATTAGTTACTCTTTCCACTACATCTTGGTCGAGGCCCATCCCAGCAACTTTCCAATATAGATTTATGTCGTCGCAATGACGATATACTTCGAGTTGGGAAAATGGGGTCGCCTGAGTCCAATTTCATGTTACCCGGCGTCCCGGTTGGCCGGACCTCGGTTGCATGCCGACCTGCGATAATTACGACTCGGTTTGCTTCGCGGATAAGTTGTCCGTGTGCTGTTACGGATGGATAACCGGCTAGTAGACTGTCCTTTTCTGTCCAATACTCTCTTCGCATTATCTCCCTCAACCGCGGTTCAGTTTCTAGGATGCTGTTTCAGCAAAAGTTGACGTCAATATGGCATTGTTGGATTGGAGACGTCTACGTCCAATGGCGGTCGAATACCTAATCATACTGACCAGCAACTGGAACGGTATGACCAATCAGCAGATTATAGTGAACGAACAATGGCAATGCGCTTGAGCCTACGCTCACTCGCGTCTAGACACTAATCATGTGACTTCATCGTGAGAAGGAGCTAGGAGGCCTCAACGAATAAACAGAGTAAGCTGTAGTGCTGCAATGGCTTGATCCCGTTGCTCCTATGGGTTGGTTGCAGCGCGTTCCGCGCTGTCTGCCGCTTATAAGGGAAGCAAACTAATTACGACGGCGGGCTGCTGTGCAAGCCACGACTCTCGCCGAGGGATCTGTCTCACATTCAGTAACGGTCCTATGGTTTGCGATATGTCCTGATAGCGATCTCGGCGATTAAAGCGGTAGCTGTTGTAGTCCTAGTTGGCCACAGGCGGCCGCGGCACGAATGAAAGGGTAAAGCTCAAGTCGTTAGGGACTCGATTCCTAAAACCCTTATCTTTGGTAGAGGCGAAATGTAGAGCCGAAGGGTTGATACGGCCTAAAAGGTTAACCCGCCATTGTCTCCTATTGAGGGGTTCAAACCGCCGAACTGAAGTAGAGCTTTGTTTCTATAAACAGACCTTGGCGGTGTTAGTAAGAAGACAGATGAGAGTTCTGTTAAATCCTCCTAATTGCTTGCCTTTGAGTTCTTCGCTAGAATAAGACACTTCTGCCCACTTGCCAATATGGGGTATCCCACGCAATTGACCCCTGAATGCATGCACAGATCGACCGAAAGATGTCTATTCTTGTTGGAAATTTGAGACTGCAGCGGGGTGGTCGTAGTTGATGCTGCAGCCAACTTGGGAAGGAGAAACAAAAGTGAATTCTCGCACAGAAGTCGAATGTCATCATGAAAGTGCCGTACGGTTGTTGTCCTTGGCAG